TATACATACATAAAAAGAATAAAGTTTGTAATACCAAAACATCGTGCCTTATTATTTGTTAAACATTGTCAACTGACAATTTTTTACCATTTTTGCCCCATCGATCACCAATAAATTCTCTCATTCATTCGCGGATCGGCAATTAATAAATTAACCTTTTTTGCTTTCTGTGTTACATAATCAAAATTCTTGATTTGCTTTGATCCATCAATCTTACAAAAATCATGAGTACCAAGAAACTTATTGGCTGGCTCTTGCATCTATTCTATATCTATATTTTCTTTCTAGATTTGCATCAACTTTTTATTTACTTATGCCCAAGCTATTATTCTCATGTTATTATTGGTAATAATCAATTAATATTTGCATATAAGGTAATTTTTGGTTTTCCTTTTTTATTTTTTTTATTCATTTCTGTATATATAGTACTTTTTGTAGTTGTTGTAGTTACTGTTTACCACTTTCTTTATCATCATCATCACCACCAATAACATCATTATTAACATCATTATTAATATCATTATTAACATCATTATTAACGTCATTATTATCATCTTTATCATCTTGTTCTCTGATAACCAATGGCGAATCCTTTGGTAGATTAGATCTGATATTTAATGCAATCAGTTGTCCAAAAGTGCTAATACCTTTATCAGTTCATTTAGAATTTATCATTGCTTGAAAATAATTGTAGGCAACCTACCTTTATCATTTGGGGTTTCAAACCCATAAAAATTCCAACCAAAATATGCTAGTTTGAATGCTATGATTTTTAGTATATTTTGACATGTCAAATAGTCTTTTCTTTTTGTCAAAAATTTTTTTAAATTGTTGCTATTATTTCAATAATATTATGATTATTGTGATTATCATTATTATTATTAGTTGTATGCATTTCATCCTGCTTTTCTAGCTCCTCCTTCTGTAGTAGTAGTGATTGTTGTTTTTCTAGTTAGTAGTTTTGCCAACAATTCTTGTTTACTCCAATAGAATATTTTCTGAGCGCAAAATGTCTACCAAATTTATCAGAAAATTCTGAAAACAAAATAGATTTTTCCACATGTAATGTAAAAAAATTTTTTTTTAACATCTAATTATAAAAATGAGTTTATATGAATATGGGTTTAGTATATAGAGGTAGCTCAAGATCAAGATGCTCAAGGTATGTTTATAAATATCAATTCTTCCAATACCTTCTTTCTTTGTATAAAATAAAATAAAATTATTATTTTGATATTTGTAGTTTACAAATAAATGATTTATAATATAAACAATATACTGTAAATACAACAAATCTAGCTTTATGAGCAGTGTCTAAAATCTGAACTTGAGATTATGTGCACTGACCACGCATTATTATCAAACTAATGTATGGGCAATTTTACATAAGTAATAAAATAAATTATAAAACAATTGATAAATTTTGTTTATACTTTTCAAAAAACATTGTCACCTTTCTATACTGTCTTCACTTTTTTTCAAGTCAAAGTTAAACTCATAACTAATTTGGATCAAAATCTTCACATACTTTATTTAATTCTTGTCTGGTTATTTCCTTATTTTTTTGCTTTTGTGTAGTTACTAAAGCTCTGAAACACCATGAATTGAGACTTGCATCTTGTGCCAATTGTATAAAATTATGATAAGTGGTGCAGTGCAAGTTTTTAGGATTTTTAATTACAATTTAATAATTTGACCTCAAGTATAATTGGTGCAGTCCAAAAGTTTTCAGGTTTCAGGTTAGCCCAGCCCGCAAACATGATTCATGACAATTTATTAGCTAACAAAACCTTTTTGGCTATGAAGCTTTGATGTTGCATTAAAAATTAAAAAATTAAAAAATTTTCATACATAAATAAAGAGTTTCATATGTGGTTAAAGTTTGGATTCATGATTGTGTTTTGTATAGTGATGGTGGCTGAAATTATTTCAGTCAGTAGACATTCTTTTGCATTCCTGTACTGTATGATCTAAAATTAGCATTTCTGTATTAAATGTTATGAGTACAGAATCCATTTGATTGGTGGGGGTGCTACGTACTGTATGTTGGTGTGTGATTTTTTTAAAAAATTTTCTATTTTTGTAGATCATACAGTACAGGAATGCAAAAGAGTATAGTACTGAATCTCTATATACTCAAATTATTTTAGCAAATCTGAAATAGAAATTAGAAATTTAGGTGTAATGAAACCTAAAAATTACCTACACTATGGGCAAACTATGACCAAAGTTTTATGATAAATAAAATGGATTTATCTAAGTGTCATCAATCATATGCTGGAAATGTGATCTATATAGTCTCATTTTTTTTTTTTTATATTGCATTTTTATTATTTATTTATATATTTGGGGTCTGTACTAGGAAAATCAAGCTACCAGCTTTTTTTTTTTTTGACTTTTACACAACAACAATAATTTCTAGCATAAGAATTTATAAATTGATGAAAAAATTGAACCTTGTTTGCATAGTAGAAAAATGAGATACAAGGATTGGAATATTTCTCTATATATTAAAAACATGTGTAACTAAATTTATAATTATAATGGTTGTTACCAAAAATAAGTAGATTTTTTATCTGGTAGCTTGATTTTCCTAGTACAAACCCCATTTATTAAAAAGATTATGATTATCATAAAAATAATGTCATTTTTTAACCTAATTTGTTTGTAATAATAAAACAAATCAATCCTTTTTTTTGTTCATAAAACACTTCTGTGGTCAGAAATTAAACAGTAGAGTTTAATTGACTGCTTGGTTTTCACCTGCAGTTTAGGTTTTGCCAATTTTTTACCATAATACATAATTTTGGAAGTTATATGACCATTTAATAAAGCTCTCACCAAGTTTCCTCCATAAAATATAAAAAGCATTATTTTTTCAAAGAAAAGATCTGCATAAAATTTAGCCAATCATTTTTATTTTTTTTTCTAATGATTTCTAGATTGTCTATCTACAATATTTAGAAATCCATATTTGGTAATAATGCTGACTGTAGCAGCACATGCGGACAGGGATAGTAAGGGGAAGTTGTACAAAATAGGCTTTATCCTATATTACCTCACCGGGGGCATATTTACCCTGTGATAATCACGGATACAGTCAGACTCCTATATAATCACAACGTCGGGAATGTGAAATGTTGGTGATTATAACTGAATGTGACTATATAGGATTCCTCCTATATAATCACTTACTATGTAATTTAAAAAATTTGGTGATTATAATAAATCTTTTATTTTATTTAACATTTCAAGTAGATAGATATAATAAAAAAATATAATAATTATTATATAAAAAAAACACAAATAAAATGACTAATTAAAAAACCATTCCAGTTTTTTTTGTGTTTTTGAAAAAAAAATCCTTCTTTCAATCTTTTGTTTATATTTTTTTAAATTTTTATAATCATTTTCATCAAATTCTGAATCATTTTGCTGTTCAATATAAATGAGTAATTTATTGATTGCCCCCAAGGCATCATTGTTGCATACAATAGCTTCTGGTTCATCAGTATCCTCACCTGATTCATCATTTACTTCATTTACTTCATTTAAGATCATCTCAATTATTTCATCTTCATTTAAAATCTCTTCTGTTAAAGTCGATTCATTATTGTTAATAAATTCCAAAACATCCAAATTATTCCCAATATTTGGCTCGTTTAATAATTCACATAACTTATCTCTATTATTTTGTTCTTCAATCATTTGATTATTAACTGCTTCGTTAGTTGTTTCTTCATTTGTAGTGATAAAATCTCAGTTTTGTTCCAGCAATTAACAATTGTTCTTTGTTTAACAGCATCCCATGCTTCTCCAATGTAATCAACTGCTTCTTTTATATTCAATTTTCTAAATTTAAAATTTTATTAGAATAAATGAAATAATTTATAAAAATAAAATAAATAAATAAAACTAACTTTTCTAAATTTTGTCTTAGCTCAAATTTTTTAATAAGATCATGAACATATAATTGTTTATACTTAACCTAAAATTTAATAATTTAGTTAAATACTTTATACAACAAAAAATATTAATTTTATTATAACTACATTCACCTTGAAATTATTAATGATGCCAGCATCCATGGGTTGTAAATGAGCAGTTGTGTTGGGTGGCAAAAAATGAATC